ACCCGGAAACCTTGGTATATTAGCTAATCTTTTATCAATTTTATCTAGAATTAAAGCACCATATTTTACTTTTAATAAATCAAATGTAAATTTAATTTGGTATTTAAATAATTCCAAATCTAAATGGTGCATTCTATCAATTACAGTAGCTTCATAGATATTGAGATTCCTAAAATTTATAAAATAAAAAGTTAATAAAGTATTATATATTGTTGTAAGAAAAGTTAATTAATTTGAAATAAAGATAATTAATTCGCACATATGCGATTTATATTAAATTATATATTTATCACAAAAATTTTGAATAAAAAATATATTTTAATCAATTTATACTATTATTCTATTATTTGAAATAAATTGCATGGTTGTGATTTAAATTAGATTATATTTTTAGCTCAAAATTTTGAATAAAAAATATATTTTAATCTGTTTGCGCTAATCTATGATATAGCGAATTAAACCGCATAGTTGCGATTTATATTAAATTAATTATTTATCACAAAATGAATAAAATATAAAATTTAATTTATTAAAAAATTTGATATAATTCGATCTAATTCGCTTTCATTAGAGTATATATTATTAAATTAAAAGTAAATTAATAAAAAGATTTAAACTTATTTAAAGTTCCAAAAGAAATTTGGTATGGATTCTATACAAACTGAATTTTCGTCACTATTATCAAAATAGTTTTTCATGTTTTTATGATTTTTAAGAACCAAATCATGTTCAAAACAGTTTGTTTTTGCTAAATCTCCTTTTTTTATCAAACAGAAGTGGCAAGGGTGATTTGATTGTGTTGATTTATATGTTAGACAAAAGGTTGTTGCTTCTGGCCAATCTGAAATTATAGTGAACACTTTCGGAAAAAACCAGACAAATTTGTTTTTAACTGCTATTGTTATTTCAAAATCTGAATACTTTCGAATTGGTTCTAATAAAATTTCTAAACATTTATGAAATGTTTGTCTAACTATTGTTTTATTTTTAGGATCTGTTTTGATTATTGGCATATAACCTAATAGCTGCTTAGCATCATGCTTATTTCTTCGCCATATAGGTATATTGCCTAGTAATATACATATTAGATGAAGCTGAACTTTATCTAAAGTGTCACAATTTGTTGCATCCCGAATATAAAATAATTAATAGAAGTTTTGATCCTAGTCGCAAAGTATTTTGTGTAGTTTTTCACCACATTTCATTATTTTGCTCTTTATGAATAATCTCTTTGCCATTCTTTAAAAAAATAAAAATAAATTAACATAAAAAAAATAAATATTGTATTTACAAATAAAATTAAAAGTTATATATACCTTAGTAGTTTTGTATAATTCTTTATACTCAAATTCCAAATGTTGAGCTATATCAGGAATTTTTAATATACTTTCAATACAGCTGATTAAATCCATATAGTATAAGAAATACTTAGTATTATCAAGTTCTAATACTTCAGTTTTCAAATATGGCAAGTTAGAATTAATATTATTCATTAACTCCTTGCCTTGTTTAATGTTTTTTGGTAATGGTGATTTAGAATGCTTTGAATGCTTATTAAAAAATAAAATAATAGCATTTCCAATTGCATTACTTAGTTTATATTTAGTTATCAAAACTATCAAATTAGCATAAGCTTCATTAGGAAACTTCTGAACAATTTCTTCATCTAATAAAGAGGTTTGAATATCATCAGTAAAAGCAGAATTATTCAAAAAGTTATTAGAAAATTCCTGATTTTCATACAAAATAGATTCATATTCGTCAAGCAATTCAGAAGTGTGATCAAGTTCGAAACAGTTCAAATTAATGTTTGATACATCTAATTCAATTGAATTAAATGCAAATTCATCAGAAATATTATCTGCATTAGATACAACCAAAGGACCAGCATAAGTGCTATTAAAATCAATATTAGAATTGATTCTATTAGGCTTACTGCGATTCGCTCTATTGCGGAATTTAATATCTTTAAATGATATAATTTTAGACGAAGTTTTACTATTTAAATAATATTTGTTACTATCTACAGAAATTTTTTGATTTTGTTTAATTGGTTTAATTGAATTCAAATAGGTGCAAACTTGTATAGTATTGATCGAAATTTCTTGTATATTAGCTTCGGAATGTTTTTTTAAACATTTAAGCATATGTTTAGATAAACCATTGCTATTAGCAAATGTACGAGGGCAAAAAGAGCATTTGTTGGCAGATATTTTTAATAAGATAAGTTTTTATAAATTTAAAAGTTTTGAAAAGTTTAAAAGATTAATTTAATTTGAAGCAAAAAATTTAAAATGAAGAGCAAAGAAGCTAATTTAATTTATTTATAATTAAAGATTAAAATTTAATTTGTTTCTTTTTAGTGAATATAATTTGTTATATTCGTTGCATTATTTTTAATAGTTTCTATCAATTTTAGTTTCAAAAAAAATATTAACTTTAATTCAAATTAATTCAAATTAAACGAAAACGAATCATTTTAATTTATCTCTATTTTAACTTTGTTATGTTAATATTTAAAATTTTTTATCAATTTTAATTTAACATTTTAAATAAATATAATATAATTCGAATTAAAGCGATTTAAACCAAACTATTTCGATTTAATCAATATAATTTGTTATATTTATAATGTTAATATTTAATAGTTACTATTATTTTATTTACAAAATTCAAATTAAAAAAATTTAATGCAAATTAATGCAATATATACTAATATATTTCTATTTAATTTTAATTTGTAATATTTGTTATGTTAATATTTAATAGTTCTTATCACTTTTATTTTCAAACTTTAATACACACAGTCAAACTTCTATAAGTGCACTGCATACAGACTAGCTTCAATTGTGCATTTAGAGAGGTTTGCATTTAGAGAAAGCCAATCAAATTGCAGCTTTTAATATTTGATCTGTAGGCTTGTATAACACAACTTAAATACTGAATTCTGATTAGCTACGTGTATTTAGGAAGGTTAGTATGATATAGAAGATCTTTTGAGTAAACGTGTATTTGCAGAATATAGAACGTGCATTTAGCATTAATAATTTCTTATAGCCAGGCCAGAAACGTGCATTTAGAGAGGTATTGTATTTATAGAGGTTGCATTTATGGAGGTTTGACTGTATAATACGAATTATAACAATTTTTATCAAATTATATCGATTTAATTAAATAAATTTGTAATATTCGTTACGTTAATATTTAATAGTTCATATCAATTTTATTAAACCAATTTAAATTAATTCAAAAAAAATCGAATTAATCTATTTAGTTTAAGATTATTCAATAAATGAACTTTATTCACTATTTAGTTATGTTATTATTTAATTTATCTTACATTTATTATATAAACTTTAACTTACGAGTAGTAATTCGAAATAAATCGACTTTTACCAAAAAAAATAACATAATAAAAGAATTAGTCTATTCGAATTGTTTTTAATTATTGCAAATAAATAATCGTTAAGTTAATAAGGATGATATATAGAATAAAGGGAAAATCGGGTATGTGTTTATTAAATATCACTTAAAATTAATCACATCGTACAAAAAAAATTCTAGAATAAATTAATTAGATGGATATGTAGTTGTACGTAACGCATCCAAAAATGCTTCCCATAAATTATTTTTGTTTTCCTACGCCAGATATATTCAAATAGATGTTTTTTTTATTAAATCTTTACATCTATGACGTGATGCGATTTGTAATTTCACACCATTCCAAATACCTTCGATAGTGTTTGTATTCACACCTGTAACCGGATCTGTAAAATGCTTTGAATGATTCACTGTTTTATGCTGCACATTTAACCCATCCTTAATACCATTATACCCTCTCCAACAATCAGTGTAAAGTATTGATTCTGGTTTGATGTATTCGTTTAAAATTTTTTGAATAGTTTCACTATCTCTTTTATCGATTGTTATCAAAAAACATCGCTTCTCATCCGTAATTTCAACCCCACCGATAACCCAAACACCATTCATTCTTCATCCACGATTATATTTACGTCTACTAAATTTAGATTCATCTACTTGCACTATTACATCCTTACCACCTATCTTATTCGTTTCATCTTTTAACATATCAATTACCAACTCTCGAAAAAAATCTAAATAATCAGTTATAGTATTAGGTGAATGACTCGTCATCTTCAATATTGAGCTAGTAGAAACTTTTGCTAACCAGAGATATCCGATGTACAAAGTATCATCACATTTTAAATGATTATTAGAAAAAAATGAATTTTTGAATATCGAAACAGATTTTTGACATCGTTTGTTTTTACATCGAAATCTTTTATCTTCACGAAAAATCCTTTTATTACATTTTAAACAAATTGTTGGTTTTTCTAAGATATTTTCATTAAATAAAAACTCGATGGATTTACTCTTATTTAAAAAAATATCTTTCAATGATTTGTATTTTGGAAATTTTGACATTGTTTATTCTTCTTAAAATATTGCTTAATATTTATTTATGTGATGATTAGTAAAAAAATAACTAATTTAATACATGATCAAAACGATTATTATACATTTTTAATAAAAATTTTTTCAGAAATGTTATCTTCAACATCATAAAAATCAAAATAATTACATGTGCCAATATGTTTAATTACACTATTTTTATATAAAATAAAATAGTGACCAACATTATCTTTCAACTTGTAATAATCTCTAATACCATCATTTTCTGATTTGATTTCCTCAAATTTTTCATCATCAAAAAAAGCAATATCTAATTTAGATTTATCGATATCAACTGTTTGATAAACTTCTTCCTTAATAAATTTACATTTAAAATCATTACTTAAATTGAAAATACGATTATTCAAAGTTAAATAAACACATATTTTTCCATTATTATTATGAAAATCATTTAATTAATAATGATTCAAATAAAACTTATATAATAAATTATTTTTAAAATAAAGTCTCGCATCTGATTTAACGAGAAAAGAATCTATCCCATTTGAATTTTTAATTATAGGATATTCATAATCATCATATTCGTTAATTCCGTAATGTAATTTAAATCTATCCAAAGAACAAGGTTTATCATTATAAAATAAAGTTATATAATGCCAAGTAAATCTCCTATCATCCTCAATAATAAAAGATAATTTTTCTTTATCGATTTCAAAAATATCATTAAAAATTATCAATTCGTCCATTTTCTTTAATATTTTCAAATCCAAAACATTGCTTTTATAATAAGAACAAATTAATAAATCATGACAACAATAGATATGACCAATTGGATCGAGAAATATTTTCATCAAATGCTTGATGAATT